GTTTTACTTTTTTACTCAAAATCCTTTAAAAAGGATGCGCTGTGTTGAAGTTGAGCGACGGACGAAAAAGGTCCATGTCTCTGTGGGTGGAGTTCATAACGGCTTCAGGGTACCTCTCTGCCAGGAAGATCAGGAGTCGCTTTCAAACATTGGTGGCTCAGGTGGGTTGATATTTTCAATGGCTCCCAAATAATTTGGTTGCATTGTTCTGTTAATGTAGAAACAATCTCCACTCACACGGATTAATTGATTGATTAATTTTAATTAATTTAATTGATTAATTTATTTTGAGCAATTTTATCTGAATCAGTTTATAATAAAAAAAATAAGTTTCTTAATTTAAAAAAAATTTGACAAAACGAACAAGTGGAGACGATATTTAAACTAGCGAAACATTTTGAGTCAGTAGCGTTCTTCAAATACAAAACCTGCAGGCAGTGGACAAATGCACGTACAGAGACACAGTGAAGATCATGACGGACACCTCCGAAGTGAAGCTGAAGGTGAAAGACAGGTACATAATTCAAATCACCCCTGCATTCAAATGCTCTGGCATCTGGCCACGAAGTGCATCTCACTGGCCCCTTCCACACATTCCTTGGCCCAACCCCAACCTGGTGGCTGAAGTCAAAACTGAAGGTCATTTGGAGTTATGTTGTGAAGTTCTTACTGGCTTTGTTTAGAGTAACATTCGTATCCATTCGTATCCAAACGACATTCGAAAAATATTTATGAATGAATGAATGAAAAAAGAATAAATTAAATAATGAATGAATTAATTAAAGTCGGTCATTGCATTAAATCCCCATTGCAGGGTTTGACCTGCTATCAAGGGAATCAATATACATGAAGGACAAGCAATCTGCAGCAGAAGGAGATGCTTGGGTGGTTTCTTTCAACCAATCAGAAATGATCTTGTTGCTGGGGGGATGTCGGAGGAAGTGCCTGAGCATCCTGAAGACTCTCCGAGACAAACATTTGGACCTGCCAGGTAAATATTCTGATGATGGTGCTGTATATTTTAACTTTTTATGTCGTAAAATTTCGTTTTGTACCATTTTATATCAAACTGTTTTATGCTGAATTGCTTTACATTGGGATGTTTTGTGCATGTGCATGCCGGTGGTGTGTTTTGTTCGCAAGCGACCGCTAAAGTAAACGCCTAGTGTCAACTTTTTCACATTATTTTAGTCGTTTTTATTTTTCTGAAATATAACAACATAATACAAACTTTATTTACAAAGACAAATAATAATGTATTACAAAGAAATGAAATTATTTTTATTATAAATCTATCCTCCCAACACAAACAAACAAAACGTAGGCAAGCCCATAGAAAACTACCACATGAAGACGCTGCTGCTGTACGAATGTGAGAAGCACCCGCGAGAGATGGAATGGGACGAAACCTGCTTGGGAGACAGGATCAACGGGATCCTCCTGCAGTTGATCTCATGCTTACAAAACAGGAGATGCCCACACTACTTCCTACCCGGGTTGGATCTCTTCAGGGGAAAGTCCAGTTCCAGCATGGACAATGCGGCCAAACAGACGTGGAGGATTTTGAGGGAGTTGCTGACCAATTCTAGATGTCTGGAAAAATTATAATGTGTGATTGATTGCTGGACGGATGGATGGACGGATGGACGGACGGACGGACGGATGGATGGATGGACAGAAAATGAACAAAAAATTTCATTGATAAGTAAAACTGATAAAAAATATAAAATTAACATTTAAATTTATAAGATAATTTACGGATGATTTTTCACTTGTTGTCAAAATTATTTTCATTTTATATCATATTTTATAAAAAATATAATTCCAATTACGATAACTTTTAAATGTTGAATAATATTTAAATAATTATGTTATATTATTTATAATGTTTAAATAATTATGTTATATTATTTACTTTCAACAAATCCTCCGCATAGTTTTTTAATTTCCCATTGCAGTTTTGTCATGATTAAATTTCTGTTTTGTGATATGTTTATAAACTTTTTTGTATAAATAAGTTTAATTATTTATTTTCAAACGTTATTATTTTATTTTTACATTTGGTCATCTTTATGGCCAATATTCATCACGTGATTGTATACGTTCAAAAGCAAAAGCATAATTTTTTAACTTTTCCAAAGCATTGCTTAGAAAACATTTTTTCTATTTTTTTCATTTATCGCCATATTTATCACGTGATTTCTAGATAAGATCTGTCACTTCCGGTTACCTACCTCTGCATCATTATGACGTTACATCTTGCGGTCATGTGATGTGGTCATGTGATGTGGTGTGGTCATGTGATGTGATGTGGTCATGTGATGTGATGTGGTCATGTGATGTGATGTGGTCATGTGATGTGATGTGGTCATGTGATGTGGTGTGGTCATGGATGTGATGTGGTCATGTGATGTGATGTGGTCATGTGATGTGGTCATGTGATGTGATGTGGTCATGTGATGTGGTGTGGTCATGTGATGTGGTGTGGTCATGTGATGTTGTGTGGTCATATGATGCAAGATTTGGGTAGTTTTATCAAATTTCGATGCGTTTTATTTGTTTTGATGTGGGGTGAAACTAAGGCTTAACATGATGGGAAGACATTTTTAGTGAGATTACAAAACTGCTCTCATCATCATCATTATCAACATCAATGTCGCCACTCACATGAATATATTTTTCTCATTTTGGTACCATTTTTATTATATCCATTCTTCCTCATCACCATCGTCATCATCACCATCATCATCGTCATCGTCACCATCGTCACCATCATCATCACCATCATCATCGTCACCATCATCATCACCATCATCGTCGTCACCATCATCATCATCATCATCATCACTATTGTTAATGTAAATCATTTTACGAAATTTTTTGAAATTTTTGTCTTTTTTTTCAATTTTTATATGTGCAATATAATTTTTATTGGTTTTTTGTCATCATCATCTACCCCCATCAACATCATTCCCAATATCATTATTTATATCACAAGTACAGAAATCAATTTATATATATTACACGTGTGTGTGTTGTGTGTGTGTGGTGTATGTGTTGTTTGTGTTGTTTGTGTTGTGATGATGTGTGTGTATGTGTTGTGTATGCTGTGTGTGAGTTGTTATGATGTGTGTGTGCTGTATATGATGTGTTTGTTGTGTGTTGTGTGTGTTGTTAATGTTGTGAGTGTATTTGTGTATGTTGTGTGTTGTGTGCATCGTTATGATGCGTGTGTTGTTATGATGTGTGTAGTGTGTGTTTTGGTTTTCATGTCAGATGGATGCTAATTAATTTTTTATTAGCATTATCGACAGTAACAATAAATAACTATGTCTGCTCCGCTAGTTAGTTTCTTTTGTTGATGACGATGACGACGACAATGATGATGATGATTTATGGGGGTGGTGGGAATGGTGGTGGTAATAAAGAGGTGGATGTTGATGATGGTGATGGTGATGTTGATGATGGTGATGTTGATGATGATGATGGTGATGGTGATGTTGATGATGGTGATGTTGATGATGATGGTGATGATGATTGTGATGATGATGGTGGTAAAACAATTAGTGATTTTGTCTATAAAGGATTGATTAATGAAAGATGGAATTGAATAAAATAAAGTTTTCTTTATTGCAATGTTCGTCGTTCCTCTGTTGCTCGTTTGAGTCGTCGCCATTGTTCACATCTAAATAAAATTTCATCCCAATGTTCTCTAACCATCATCACCATCACCAACATCATCATCATCATCATCCTTTATTTTAATAAAATCGTCATCATCATCTATTATTATTAGTATTGTTATTATTATTATTGTACTCGTTTATTTCAAATGATGAGCATCGTAGAATACTATAATATTTAATTTTATTTAATTTTATTTATTTTATTAGATTTTAATTAGAGTCTTATCTCATTTTACCATTTCTCATGTTGTTTTTTCTGAAAATAAAAAAGAAAATTCACATTATTATTACTTTCATAATTATAGTCATAATTATAACCATCCATCCATCTATCCATCCATCTATCTATCCACCCATCCATCTATCCATCCATTCATCTATCCATCCATCCATCCACCAACACTTAACTCCAGACCCTGCACCAGAGCCAACGTAAACATTACTAACTCTATAAATAAATAAATAAATGAGTGAGTGTTTACTTGACAGAAGCAAGGATGGATGAAATGAATGAATGAATGAATGAATGAATGAATGAATGAATGAATGAATGAATGAATGAATGAATGAATGAATGAATGAATGAATGAATGAATGAATGAATGAATGAATGAATGAATGAATGAATGAATGAATGAATGAATGAATGAATGAATGAATGAATTAATGAATGAATGAATGAATGAATGAATGAATGAATGAATGAATGAATGAATGAATGAATGAATGAATGAATGAATGAATGAATGAATGAATGAATGAATGAATGAATGAATGAATGAATGAATGAATGATCAAATTGAAAGAATAAATAAAAGATTGTATAAACGAATTGCGATCAAATGAACAAATGAATAAAATTATAATTAATCGATTGAAATATAATTGAACAATTCAGTTATTAACAGTGTAGTTTTTTATTATTATAACCATATAATTTATACATGAACATAATAATGAAACAGACAGACGCAGACAGACGCAGACAAACAGGTTATGGTGATAGTAGCGGTCATAAGGAGAGTATTAGTGGTCAGTGGTCAGTTTAATAAAGCAGGTTAAATGGATACTATTTAATGCATCAACAATTTCATGTGTATATATGCCAATACACATACACACACCCATATATGATATATGTGTGTATATATGTGTGTGTGTGTGTTTAAAGACATGTTGTATCTGCTATTTGTCAATATTATTAAGAGCAGGTGTGTGTACGTGTGCGTGTGTGTGTGTGTGTGCACGTGTATGTGTATGTGTGCGTGTGTATATGTGCGTGTGTGTGTGTCTGTACCTGTGTGTGTGTGTATG